GTTAAAAGTTAGTAAAGTGAGCAGTAAAATAGGTACCTGGGTGTTAGTCAGCTGTCACGGGCTGCTTCCTGGGGATGGAGGCCTGGTCGAGGACCGGGCCGCGGGGACACTAAAAAGCCCCGAAATCATCTCAAGACTCCAGAGTCCCGAAGGAGTTACGCAAGCACTTACCAATCTGGGACCAGATTCACGAAGCAGTTACGCAAGCACTTACGAATCTGGGGCCAGAGTCCCGAAGGAGTTACGCAAGCACTTACGAATCTGGGGCCAGAGTCCCGAAGGAGTTACGCAAGCACTTACCAATCTGGGACCAGATTCACGAAGCAGTTACGCAAGCACTTACGAATCTGGGGCCAGAGTCCCGAAGGAGTTACGCAAGCACTTACCAATCTGGGACCAGATTCACGAAGCAGTTACGCAAGCACTTACGAATCTGGGGCCAGAGTCCCGAAGGAGTTACGCAAACACTTACCAATCTGGGACCAGATTCACGAAGCAGTTACGCAAGCACTTACGAATCTGGGGCCAGAGTCCCGAAGGAGTTACGCAAGCACTTACGAATCTGGGACCAGATTCACGCAGCAGTTACGCAAACACTTACGAATCTGGGGCCAGAGTCACGAAGGAGTTACACAAACAACCATAAGAAATATTGAGAAAATTCGTGTTAGAATTATTAATCTTACTTTTTCGGTCATATTTAATAATATATTTGAAACTGTGTATAGAGTCTGACTCCACCACCTCGTTGCTTAGTGAATTCCATTTCTTAACTACTGTCGACATTGAAAAAAGAAACTTTCTAATATCGCTGTGGCTCACTTGCGTGCTTAATTCCCACCCGTCTCTGTGTGTGTGTGTGCCTGTATCACCCTTGTTAAATGTCTTTATCTACTTATCAATTCATGTGAGAATTTTATATGTAACAATCATGTCTCCCCTAACGCTCTTCTCGTCCAGAAACCTGAGATTTAATTCCCGTAGCTTTTCTTAGTAGCTATTCCTCTCAGTTTTAGGAATAATCTCCTGGCATACCTCTGAACTTTTTCTGACTTCGTTTTGTACTCTACTAGATATGTACTTCACGATGGAGCTGCATATTCCAGGACTGGTCTGACTTATGTGACTATTCAAAGTTCGAATGACTCTTTTTACGTACATTGTTAAAAGCTTTTGTTCCGCTTGACAACTTCAGATATCCGTTAGATGAGAGCTTCAGGAGAGACCACACACTAGAAGGTGAAGGGACGACGACGTTTCGGTCCGTCCTGGACCATTCTCAAGTCGATTATGAGAATGACGAAGTCGAAGTCGAATCACAATCGACTTGAGAATAGTCCAGGACGGACCGAAACGTCGTCGTCCCTTCACCTTCTAGTGTGTGGTCTGGTCAACATACTTCAGGCATGTTATTGTGACTCATCGCCTGCTTCAGGAGAGACCTTCAGTGTGATATCGCCCGACAAATACTCTCTCTCTACTCGATTCCTTAAGGATTTTCTCTCCCAGTTGGTATCTTGTGTCCGGCCTCCACCTCCTTTAGCCTAGTTATTACTATACACTTAGTGGAGTTAAACTCAAGTAGCCACTTGTTAATTCACTTTGTCCAGGTCAATTTGTAGCCTCCTGCCAGCTACCCTCCAGAGGCATGATCAACATATGAGCCAAGTTTGCGTGACTTTTCAAAGTTGGTGTTCATGTCAATACCATTAAGTTTATTACTCGAATACGCCAGTTGTTTACCTTTTGAGTCCTTATTCTAATTTCTTAAATGGTGGTACTGGGATCGAGTCAGACTACCTATGACACGCCTACCCCGCATAAGTGTAACCCCGCACATGCCGTCTTGAGAATTTGGGTGAGACTAGCGGCAGGCATCTGACCTACGTCACTTTTATACATCTAAATAATTTGTATATAAGGACTAATATATTTCTGTGCTACATATGACGGTCTGTAGTAATATTAATTATAAATAATCATTATTATTCACTGTGTCAGGGGGACAGGCAGCCAGTGTATATATACATGTTAGGTTTATAAGGTCGAACACTTTCTAAGCTATCCTGGGTACCTAGTTACTGCTAGGTATAACATAGGCATTAGCCGATACGAAAGGCCCCTAACGTTAAAAGTTAGTAAAGTGAGCAGTAAAATAGGTACCTGGGTGTTAGTCAGCTGTCACGGGCTGCTTCCTGGGGATGGAGGCCTGGTCGAGGACCGGGCCGCGGGGACACTAAAAAGCCCCGAAATCATCTCAAGATAGATCTATAACCCAAAATCTTTACTACCAAAATCACCTCTGCGTGCGGCCAAGGCCAGGCAGGTACTTCATCAGCTGCTGGTAGTGATGATACCACTCCGTCAGCGTCGTCAGGAGAGCAGGACCCTTCTAGGGGGGTCCACGTCTTCTAGACGTGCTCTCAAGACGCGTCCAGCGACGTCTTGGGAGGCAGACGTTGTCCTGTATGCGTCCAGCGACGTTTTGGGAGGCAGACGTTGTCCTGTATGCGTCCAACGACGCCTTGGAAGGCAGACGTCGCCCTGAACGCGTCCAGCGACGCCATAGAAGACAGACGTCGCCCTGAACGCGTCCAGCGACGTCTTGGAAGGTAGACGTCGCCCTGAACGCGTCCAGCGACGTCTTGGAAGGTAGACGTCGCCCTGAACGCGTCCAGCGACGCCATAGAAGGCAGACGTCGCCCTAAACGCATCCAACGACGCCGTGCAAGAGACGTCGCTGCGTCGCCCTCTCCTCACAAAAGCCACAAGGTCACTAATCAATAACCCTATGTAGGTCACCAGGTCACTCTCAAGTATGTTATTGTTTGTGGAACGTGACAAGCGAGCTATGGTGGTAAGCACGCAGCACAGAGGGCCTCTCACATACTCCCAGGCACGCCTAGTATGGTCGGCCGAGCGGACAGCACGCTGGACTTGTGATCCTGTGGCCCTGGGTTCGATCCCAGGCGCCGGCGAGAAACAATGGGCAGAGTTTCTTTCAACCGGGGGAGCCGGTCGGCCGAGCGGACAGCACGCTGGACTTGTGATCCTGTGGCCCTGGGTTCGATCCCAGGCACCGGCGAGAAACAATAGGCAGTTTCTTTCACCCTATGCCCCTGTTACCTAGCAATAAAATAGGTACCTGGGTGTTAGTCAGCTGTCACGGGCTGCTTCCTGGGGGTGGAGGCCTGATCGAGGACCGGGCCGCGGGGACACTAAAAAGCCCCGAAATCATCTCAAGATAACACCCAGGCAACAGTACAAATACTGACTATCACCCACGTTAATAAGTCAGTATTTGACTATCTGGCAATGCTATCTGCTGTATAATGTCACGTGATGCTATCTACAGCTGTATTGTATTGTATTGTTGCTGTATTTTGTTCCCTACAACCTTGTGAATGTATTAACCTAGTTCACCTAGTTGTATTCACCTAGTTGTGCCTGCGGGGGTTGGGCTCTGGCTCTTTCGTCCCCCCTCCCTCCGCCTGCACATAATACCCAGGAAGCAGCCCGTAGCAGCTGTCTAACTCCCAGGTACCTATTTACTGCTAGGTGAATAGGAGAATCGGGATCAAAGAAACTCTTCCCACTTGTTTCCGCCATCGCCGGGGATCGATCCCCGGTCCCTTGGACTATGAATCCCGAGCGCTCTCCACTCAGCCACCAGTGTGGACGCTAAGCTGTGCTTGTATCCATTCCACAGACATGTCGTGGGATGATCAACTGCTTTCGTCTATCATAAGAACGTAAGAACAAAGGTAACTGCAGAAGGCCTATTGTTGTATGATGTCACGTGATGCTATCTACAGCTGTATTGTATTGTAGCTGTATTTTGTTTTTTTTTCTAAATATTTTTTCTAAATAACCATATATACACCTTTAGTATGTATATGGACATTCTGCTAATGAACAGAGCCAGAGGGGTTGAGTATAACATCCCACGCTTTGCTGTTCTATCTTAAATGTCATCGCCCCTGATCCGACCATGTTGGGAACGCACCCCACACGAACCACCATGCAAAATTGGACGAGGCTAGCCCTAAACATCTGGCCTCGAACCACGAACAGCCAGACATTTTCATTTACATATTATATATATATATATATATATATATATATATATATATATATATATATATATATATATATATATATATATATATATATATGTATGTATCCAAGATATGAATAAACTATAGATGAACAGGTCAAAAAATTGTTAAACTGACATATGGACAGGCAAACAAGGCCATTTGACAACGACTCAAGTTTTCTACCACTGACATAACCAGAATATATAATACCTAAAGGCAACGTAGTGAATGACAAATAACTTCAAATGCAAACAGCCATTTCGCAGTAAGGGCCCCGTAACTCACTAACGACTTGTCAATACCGCCACCAACAACCCAACACTGCTACACACCTGCCAGCAAGCCCTTGCAGGTGTAGAGCTAATTGCAAGATCTAATTGCACGTGTTGCTAAAATGAACAGCGTCGACTGTTGAGAAATCTATTTCCACCTCCTTACCGTGCTGGACGAGGCTGTCTCAAGGCGCCGCTCACAGTAGCCGGCATCACTATCCTCACTTGCGGCTCTACTGTGAGTTACAATGAACAGTATAGATAGAGCTAAGTACATAATGTGATGTGGTGGAGGTGGGGTCCCTCGATTGTTTCAAGCGTAGGTTGGATTTGTATATGAGTAGGATTCGGTGGTTATAGATAGGAGCTGCCTCGTAAGGGCCAATAGGCCTTCTGCAGTTACCTTTGTTCTTATGTTCTTATAAGAACAAAGGCAACTGCAGAAGGCCTATTGGCCCATACGAGGCAGCTTCTATCTATAACCACCCAATCCCACTAAGCTGCTCCCTGTAGAGATAGAGCACGAAGATAGGAGAAAAGATTGGAGTGGGAAGATGATAGGGGTAAGGAGGAGGAGAGAGAAGGAAGGTTAAGAAGGGAAGGGAGGAGCCAGGAAGGAAAGACTTACCCATGCTTGCCCTTCGCCAGGAAAGGTAACGTTGCTCTCATCTCCTCGAAGCTTCTCCTTCTCGTTCAGGGGACGACATCTGTGGGCACCCAAGAGGCATTAGTTAAGACACCATCACGCCATAGTTAATATAGGCATGCACGTTAGTCAAGCCAGGTACAGCTCCCCACAGTCAAGCCAGGTACAGCTCCCCACAGTCAAGCCAGGTACAGCATCACAGTCAAGACAGGTACAGCTCCACAGTCAAGCCAGGTACAGCCTCACACAGTCAAGCCAGGTACAGCTCCCCACAGTCAAGCCAGGTACAGCATCACAGTCAAGCCAGGTACAGCCTCACACAGTCAAGCCAGGTACAGCTCCCCACAGTCAAGCCAGGTACAGCCTCACAGTCAAGACAGGTACAGCTCCACAGTCAAGCCAGCTACAGCACCACACACATAACAACAAGACATGACAGACAGATATGTATTTGTGTAAATGATTGTATAACTCATCACCATCATGACAGATGACAACATTCATCACCAGGTCACGAGTGGAACAGCTGTCTTGAGTGACCTTGCAGAGTTGGATCTACTGGGACGGGATCCAGCTCCTGGGTCCCGTCTCCTAGCTAAATGAACCTAGTTTAATGCATCTGGCCATTGCTGTTAAGTTTATTACACAGCAAGTTAGCGTCTCCAGCCTTAAGCTACAGTGTTTGGCTGCGTGAGATAGTTGATGTAGCAGTTAAGAAGTCTCTCTTCATACACCCATCCCTTGCAATTCTATTTATGGGACTATTTCTCTACTTGTCTGTTGATCTATTTGTTTGTGTGTTGATCTATTTGTTTGTGTGTGTATTCCCTTAAGCCCCCCCTCCCTCCCCCCCCCTCTTTCTCTGCCTCCAAAACAAGATGGTGCCGTGGGGCTGCACCCCCCCCCTCCCGGCCCCCCACCACCTAGGTCATTCACCTGCGCCAATCAGGGCCACCGTGGGGGTCAACACCCCCCCCCCGCCCGCCCGCCGAGGGGTCAACCCCCCCCCCCCCCGCCGTGCCCAAATCACTCTACCAACTACGTTTCTGACCGGTTCTTCCTATCTGGTTTAAACTCATTCTTTAATTCTATCTAATTCTAACGCGCCATCTAATTCAAAACGAATCTCACTTTCCCTTCTCCATTTCTGCATCTGATTATACTCCAGAGTATAACAGTATACTCTCTTACTCTCTTAATATAATATATTCTATTAACATTCCCAACCACTTAGGGTGGACGGTAGAGCGACGGTCTCGTTTCATGCAGGTCGGCGTTCAATCCCCGACCATCCAAGTGGTTGGGACACCATTCCTTTCCCTCCGTCCCATCCCAAATCCGTATCCTGACCCCTTCCCAGTGCTATATAGTCGTAATGGCTTGGCGCTTTCCCCCTTGATAGTTCCCTGCCCTTCCCTGTAGCACAGATTGGTGTCAAGACTTCCAAGTGTCTATTTCAGGGAGCTCTTCGACCTTCCCCACACAGTGCAAACCACAACAGTAGGCTGAATCCAGAGGTACCTTTTACTGCTAAGAGAACAGACACATGGGCGGGGAATTGTGTAAAAACCTGGTTTGTGTCTCTGAGAGACTGCAGGATCCGTGGTAGGTCAGTTGATTTACCGGTTGCAATTCTTATACTATGTGTTGACCAGACGACACACTAGAAGGTGAAGGGACGACGATGTTTCGGTCCGTCCTGGACCATTCTCAAGTCGATTGTGATGACACAACCACAATCGACTTGAGAATGGTCCAGGACGGACCGAAACGTCGTCGTCCCTTCACCTTCTAGTGTGTGGTCTGGTCAACATACTTGAACCACGTTATTGTGACTCATCGCCTGAGAAAAGATGTACACGTTCGTAAGTGCTTGCGTAACTGCTTTCGTTACGCAACCCCTAAGTAACCCCTAATTGCTACAATCAATTTAACTCCGGCCACAAGAGGCTCACGGTAGCCGTCAGTGATTGTGCTAGGGTGAAATTCTACCTTAGGACGAGGGGAAGAAAGCTTGATCTTCCCAGATGGAAGTAATAAGAGGGGAAGGGACGACGGCCGGTAATGGCTACGAGGGGAAAGAGCCAAGCTAAAGGGGGAATTATCCAGTGAAAGATTGAGTATAAGAGACCCGTCATAATGACTAACCCAGTTACGGGTTATTCATGCCCGTGCCACTTCTTGGGTGGCTTAATCTTTGTCAATCACTAACCCAGTTAGTCTTGCGAGGGATGACGGAATTGGAGAGTAGCAGGAAGAGGCGGGGGGGGGGGGGATTAACGAGGGGGGGGGAGAGCGGATTTAACATTCACATTTAACATACTCATGTCACACTACCAACAGTGATATAAGAATGCAAATTCCGCACTAACACCATCGACTTCCTCCACTGTTATATCACATTCGCGTATATAACATTTCTTTAGGATTGTTATATCTGTATAACAAACTGTCTTCAAACAACACGCAGCCCCCTCTGTTTAAATCACAAACATGCTAAACACACACACACACACACACACACACACACACACACACACACACACACACACACACACACACACACTCCCTCTCACACACACACACACATTCTCCTGTATTATTTACATGTACAAAACCTTGTTCCTAAATGCTAATCTTGATCTGAAACTCTTCCTTGATAGATGTAACAGAACCCATGAGCACCACACCAGAAATAAATGCACCTTTGATATCCCCAAGAGTCAAACTAAATCTGTACAGACATTCCATGCAAATAAAGGGACCCAAGCTAATCACTCCTTAATTGAAAAAAAAACTGTCCAATCTATGCCTTATTAAAAAGGCAACCCAAAAAGTACCTAATTTCAACCCTCATAATTTCCTATCTTAGGCTTCAAACTCACACTATCTTGTGCTTCCCACTTGCCCAATATTAGTAGTTAAGACAGGTAGCTTCACCTGTGTAATCAATAATATCTACTTTTATTGTCTTTACGTAAAAGTGTAAAAATCTAATTCGGCTTCAATGGCCATTTTAATAACTCTTGCTTGTATCTGTTAGGTTAAGGACCTGCCTGAAACGCCCTGAGTGTTAATGGTTATGCAAGAATGTAGGAACACAAATTATATGTAGTCTCAAAACCCAACGTACCTTCTTTTATACAAATATATAAATATAACCCTCCTAACGTAATAAACCATTTGAATTTTACGAAACAACTTTGAGGCAACACAATATTACAATCCATAGCCAGTTTTAATACACGAAGCTCTGAGGTTACATATCTGAAACACATTCACGTGTAAACAACCCGAATCTCCTATGTTATTACCACCAGAACATGTGTTGTTGGTTTGAAGAAGCTAGGCTGTCTCTGCGGGTCGGAACCGCGTGTCAATAGGCTATATAGCTCGTCACCACAATGCAGTGTTGATCACGCTACGGTAATGCAGCCTTGTGCCTGCCTAATCTCTCTACTGAGAACGGGAGCCAGCTCTTGGGCCACGCCTCATTGCTATTTCTAGAATAAAAAAGTGTCAAAAAGTCTCGCCCTGTCAGATACTTTTGGGCAATAGCAGTTCAGCTACTGGGAACAAAATGTTCCAAGTAGCCCGGGCTATGGTGAGCCCGTAGTGGACTTACCTGGCACAGGAGCGGGGCAAGTAGCACGGGCTATGGTGAGCCCGTAGTGGACTTACCTGGCACAGGAGCGGGGCAAGTAGCACGGGCTATGGTGAGCCCGTAGTGGACTTACCTGGCACAGGAGCGGGGCAAGTAGCCCGGGCTATGGTGAGCCCGTAGTGGACTTACCTGGCACAGGAGCGGGGCAAGTAGCACGGGCTATGGTGAGCCCGTAGTGGACTTACCTGGCACAGGAGCGGGGCAAGTAGCCCGGGCTATGGTGAGCCCGTAGTGGACTTACCTGGCACAGGAGCGGGGCTGTAACTTCTGTGACTCGCAGATCCCGCCAGCCTGCCCTGATACAGCGACCACCAGACGTGAAGGCCAGCAGAGGTCATTGGTAATGGCGACCCAACACGAGATGACCTCCGCCTTGCCTGGCAAATCAGCTGCCGGCTGTCACCCGTTATCACGACCCAGACTTGAGCCCCCCCGCCCCCTGCAGCTGATATCCTGGCACCATAGATGCCAGGATACGGCACCATAGATGCCAGGATACGGCACCATAGATGCCAGGATACGGCACCAAGATGCCAGGATACGGCACCATAGATGCCAGGATACGGCACCAAGATGCCAGGATACGGCACCATAGATGCCAGGATACGGCACCATAGATGCCAGGATACGGCACCATAGATGCCAGGATACGGCACCATAAATGCCAGGATACGGCACCATAGATGCCAGGATACGGCACCAAGATGCCAGGATACGGCACCATAGATGCCAGGATACGGCACCAAGATGCCAGGATACGGCACCATAGATGCCAGGATACGGCACCGAGATGCCAGGATACGGCACCAAGATGCCAGGATACGGCACCGAGATGCCAGGATACGGCACCAAGATGCCAGGATACGGCACCATAGATGCCAGGATATGGAGGCACACTCCATCACCTTGTACAGTATTGCTGGTTAAGGACTGTCATTAGGGCAACTAGAGGGGACACTAGCCTGTAGTTGAATGCCTCTTGTATCGTGAGTACGTGCGTACGTACACCTCCGTGCCTACATGTGCGTGTGCGTCCGTGGGTGTGCTACCCGCATGCGCCACCCTGCACGAAAGGACTGAATAATAAATGAAGGAAGCTTTTCTACATTCTCACTTATAGCTAGCCTGTTTTTGTCTATATTTTTAGATCAAGCATAACAGATGAATAACGATTATCTGTAACAAAATCTTTACCAAGAACCATCCACTGGGACATACGGAAGCTGGACTCAACGAAGAGGACATAAATAATATCACATCCCCGCTCCTGTGCCAGGTAAGTCCACTACGGGCTCACCATAGCCCGTGCTACTTGCCCCGCTCCTGTGCCAGGTAAGTCCACTACGGGCTCACCATAGCCCGTGCTACTTGGAACTTGTTCAGAGTAGCTGAATCTA